CCTGTGCCCTTCCCATTCCCCAACCCACCCCGAAACCTACTCGTGCAGTCATTGGGCTGAACAACCCCGGTGTGTTTGCCATCGGGGACACCATATTCACGGGCCCGCGCCGGGTGTTCCCGCCCATCCCCTGCTTCTCCCCCGAGCTCTTTGCGCTGCTGCGCAACCCCAACCCCTCCAAGTACAAGCAGTTCCAGAAGGGACTCTCCGAGCTGCTGGGCGAGGGCGCCGTGCAGGTCGGTGCAGTGCGGTACAGGTGGGTTAAAGTGAGGTGCGGGTGGGTGTTTCTGGGTCGACTCAGGAAAATACCCCAACCCCTCCAAGTACAAGCAGTTCCAGAAGGGGCTCTCGGAGCTGCTGGGCGAGGGCGCCGTGCAGGTGGGTGCAGTTCACTCCCCTGCTGCTCTGAGGCTCGCATGTCCCTCCTGCCTTGCCGTCTCTTACCTCCTTCCCATATCTTCCCATATCTGTCCCTCATGCAGGCAGTGCAACTGTGGATGGAACTACCTGCTCTCTCAGTTGTGCCTTGATTGTTCATCCCTCTCTCATCTCCCTTCCTGTCCCAACTTGCGTATTTCACACTCGTTCCCCCTCCCGTTCCTCATTTCCCCCTCGTCGCTTCTGCTCTCCTCCCCTCTCCCCCTCCCTCCTCACTCCTCCACTCTTGCCTTCGTCACTCTCCCCCTCTACCGCTCCGCTCTACTCCCCTCTCCCCTTCCTCCCTCCACTTCCTCGTTCCCCCGTCCCTGCTCTTCCTCACTTTTCCCATCCCACCGTCCGCACTCCCCTGTTCTCCCCTTCCCCATGTGCCTCTCCCTCCTCGCATGGCAGGTGCTCTACTCCACCGATGCATCGCGCACGGATCCTATCCTCGCTGCTGTGGGGCAACTGCAGTTTGAGGTGCGTGCTGCCATGTGTGCTGTGCTGCTATGCGTGCTGCCGTGCCTGCTGCATGCTCTCCCTGCTCCCTTGCCCTGCGGGCCAGCGCTCTGCATGCACTCTCACCGCATTGCAGCTCTCTGCGCGCCTGCGTTACCACACACATGACTTCTCGTTCACCCCTCTCCTCACCCTCCTCTTGTCCCCCTCACTCCTCCCACCCCTGCGCCTGGCAGGCAGACTTCAGACATCATCCCTCTCCAACTCTCACCCTCCACTCGCCTTTGCAACCATCCTCTCACCATCCTCCCCAACCCTCCTCTCGCCCCTTGTGCCCCCAACCAGGTGGTGCAGCACCGGTGGAAAGCAGTGCACGGAGTGGAGGCATCACTGGCCTTGAGGCACACTCTCGCCATTCGCTCACTCCCTCCTCCCTTTCCACCCCTTCCCACTCTCCCCCCCACCAGGTGGTGCAGCACCGCTTGAAGGCAGAGTACGGCGTGGATGCGTCGTTTGAGCCGCTGGGGTTCACAGCAGCGCGGTGGGTGTCGGGCGGGTGGGAGGCCGTGGAGAAGGCTGGGCGCCTCTTCAACTGCGCTGTTGTCAAAGACCAGGTGCGCAGGGGAGGGGGAGGGGGAGGGGGAGGGGGAGGGGGAGGGGGAGGGGGAGGGGGAGGGGGAGGGGGAGGGGGAGGGGAAGAATGGTTGTGTGTATGGAGTGGTGGATTGGTGTTTACTGTTCGCGGGTATGTGATGGCGTTTGCTTCATGCACTTAACATTGCGTTTGTGCAGTGATTGCACACACACGTGCGCTTTCCGGATTGCGTGCGTAGCGTTGCAGTACTATCGCTGCTTGCTTGTGTAACCTAGTTACCTAGCCCCCTCTGTCAGACTCTTGGTCCTTCCCTCTTCCTCACTTGCTCCTTGTCCCTTTTCACACACAACCCACCCACACACACACACACTCCATGCACACACGGTTCTTTTCCTAACCACAGTCTCTGTTCTTTGTCACCCTCTTGATCCTGACCCCTCTCTTCCTGTCCCCTGCTCTCCCCTGCTCTCCGCTGCTGTCCCCTGCTGTTCCCTGCTGTCCCCTGCTGTCCCCTGCTGTCCCCTGCTGTCCCCTGCTGTCCCCTGCTGTCCCCTGCTGTCCCCTGCTGTCCCCTGCTGTCCCCTGCTGTCCCCTGCTGTCCCCTGCTGTCCCCTGCTGTCCCCTGCTGTCCCCTGCTGGCTCGTCTCGCCTTGTGTGTGCAGTGGGAGCGGCCAGTGCTGCTGTTCCGTAACGAGTGGAACATTGGGCAACTGCAGGTTGGTGCTTTATCATGCACATGCACATACACATGCACATGCACATGCACATGCACATGCACGCATCACTGATCCTGTCACATGTACTATCCCCAGCCAATCATCCCTCTGCTTCCCATCCACAGCTGTGCACCATCCACCTTCAGGTGCCCTCTGCCTTCCTCCTCTATCACACCACTTGTTACATCACACAACTGTATACCATGCAGCCTGTGTCCCTCTGTACCATCCTTCCATCCTTCCAAGCAAGCACACTCTCCATTTGCATGCTTCATGTGAGTGAGGGAGCACTGCTTCATGTGAGGGAGCACTAGCACTGCCTCATGCCCCGCCAACCCCACCCTCTCTTTTACTCCCTCTCTCCTCAAACAGGCCGACCACCCAGAGATAGGGGAGCTCACCCCCTACGCCCTCCCGCCACAACAAGACACCGCCACAGCAGGGCGCCGATGATTGCTCCACCATGCCGTGCCGTGCCGTGCCTGCACCACCGTGCCTTGCCATGCCTGCACCACCGTGCCTTGCCATGCCTGCACCACCATGCCTTGCCGTGCCATGCCTGCACCACATACTCACATGTGCGCCGTTGAATCTTGCATGCCAAAAAGGCTTCCTTCCTCCAAGCGACGGTTGTGCAGTGTGCAACCTTTCGGGGATATATTCTCACGATGGCTCCTGTTGTGCCAGTTTGGGTACCTGAGAAATTGATAAACAGAATCACAAGCACGCAAGGCAACAGCTATGTAAGATGAGACACGGTTGTAATAATAAGCCCAAGGAGCGAGCCGAGGATTTTCCCCTATAAAAGCAAGCTGATATCGTATTACAAACAACTATTGGAGATATGTCATGGGCATTGCATTTTCCTTGACACAAATCAATCTCGGCAAACCGATCCAAGTTCACTTGTTTCACCTCACCATGCCTTGCCGAGGTCCCCCAGCCAAGCCTGCTGCAGGCTGGCCTTGTGCGAGTGGCAGGCAGGGCGCTGAAGGGCGCGATTTTCCTCTGTGGACCAGCGCGTGTTCCTTCCCTTATGGGGAATCGCCATCAGAAAGATCTTTGCGCATGCACGCACTGCAACTACTGGTGGCATAGTTGCAACTACTGAGACGTCTTCAGTCACGTCACCTCTCGACCCGCTCATCCACCAGCATTCTGCTTCCTTGCACCCGAGCCGAGCCGCGCGACCAACGAGTGTAGCCTATCTGCTTTCGTTGCGGGGTATCCTTGAGGATTCGCAGAAGTTCTCTACTCTTTTTTTCTCTCTGTAGCCCTCTCGCTCGCTCGCTCGATGAATCGCGCTCGCGCGCCCCGGCATCGTTCCGCCATGGCCGTGCGCCTGGCGCCCGCGCGCAACGACCCCTTGGCGCAGCATAAGCTGGTGAGCGCGCGCTGCACGTGCCGTCCGCCGTAGCGCGCGGCGGGGGAGCGATCTGGGGGGGGGGGCGGTGGGGGGGGGGGGGGGGAGGGCGCGGCGATATGGGGCTGGGGAGATGGGAAGCGATTGGGGGAGGAGTAGAAAGGTCGGGAGAAAAAGGGGTGGGGAAGGGGGAACTAGTCGGAGATAGGCGCGAGCGAGCGGGGCTGCGAGCGCGCGCGGTGAGGCGCGTTGGGGCGTGGGAGAGGGGTGTCGCTGGCGCTGGGGGAAGGAGGTGGGGCCAGGAGGGTGAAGGGTAGATGTAAGGGGTAGAATGCTTGCAAACCGTCACAGACAGACATTTGAGACGTCCCAAAAGTCACATACAGGCCAACTGCCGCACGTCACGCCACTTATGCCGTGTAGTTCTGTTCTCCCTCCCTTAAACCCCAAACCCTCTGTTCCGACACGCCCTCTTCTCAGTTCCCGCCTCCCTCCCCGCTCCTCCCCTGCCGTTCCTGCTGAATCTTCTGTTCTTTCACTCGATTCCTCCTCATCTCCCTAAACCCCTACCACCCGGGTTTTCCTCCCCCTCTTCCCCCTCCCCTTACCTTCCTCCCCACTCCCCGCGCCCTGTGCCGCTGCGCGGCCTCCGCTCTACCGCAGGCTCTACTGCGCGCACTGCGCCTGCCTCTGGAGGTGCCGCTGGGGGGGGAGGCGGGGGGCGGACAGGGGGAAGTGTGGACCGGAAGGGGCGGGGAAGGGGACGTGGGGCAGAAGGCGGGGAAAGGGGGCGCAGGGCAGGGGGTGCTGGATGGGCTGCTGATGGCTGCGCGGGTGCTGGAACTGAACCACGTCCGTGGCCCTGTGCTTCCGTTTTGAACCGTTCCCTACCTTACCTCACACACCTCCACCGTACCTTGCAGCCTTGCTTCGAAGTTGACCCACACACTTCCATTTCTCTGCTTGCCACACTCTCACTCACCGATCGTTTTTTTTTTTTTTTCTCTGAAGCTTGTAGAAATAAACTGATCCATCCACCATTCCACTCTCCCTCCTCGCCTGCCACCCGCGCCCACCACCCCCTCGCCCTTTTGCCTCCAGCATCTCCCCTCAACCACCATCGTCCTCCCCTCGCCCCCCACCCCTTTTCCCCCCTGGCCCCCCCTCTTTCCTCTCCCGCCACCACCCTCCCCAACCCCCATTCTTCCCCCCAAACCTCCCTCAGGACGAGTTCTATTTCCTCGCATCGCCCCCCCGCGCCCCTGTCTCCCCACGCAACGAGCTCCAATCACTGCGGCGCATTCGCCTTGCCCTCCTCCCCCTCCTGCACGCCCCACCCTCCCCTCTCCCCCCTTCTGCCCCTCCACCATCCGCCGCCTCTCCTGCCCCCGCTACCCTCCCCCGTGCCCCGGAAATGGGGGAAAAGGGGCAGGCAGAGGCGGAAGCAATGATGGGGGAGGTGTTGAGACGGCTGGGGGGACTGGGGGAAGAGACAGTGGGGAAGGCAGCTGGGCAGGCAGGGGGGGAAACAGCAGGGGAGGTGGGAGAGGGGGAGAGGTGCGCAGGAGGGGACAGCAGAGGAGAGGAGGAGGGAGAGAAGGGGGAGGGGCGGAAGGAGGGGAGGAAGGAGGGGCGGAAGGAAGGGCAAGGGGAGGCGGAGAGGCGGCTGATGGAATGGGCGCTGGCTCATGGCGCTACGTGCGAGCTGGATGTGCGAGGTGCATGGGGACAAGAGGTGGTGAGGGGGAGAGGGCGAGAGGGGGTAGAAAGGGAGGGAGATAGGCGGGGAGGGGAGGAGAAAGGGAGGGTGAGAGGGGGGAACGATTTTTTGTGTTGGCTGATCTATGTTGTGAACACACGTTCACCGTGTTGTGAGGCACTGACACTGTCACGTCACGTCTCGTCACCCACCCACGCACGCACGCACGCATGTGCTTCTTCTGCCTTGGCTCCTCTTGCCCCGATGTGCTGCTCTGCTCTCCCATCCCATCCCATCCCATCCCATCCCATCCCATCCCATCCCATCCCATCCCATCCCATCCCATCCCAGGCACTGCCATCGTCATCCATGGCTCTGTCCTCCTCTCACAAGCCACTCACCATTCCCATCCACCATGCGTGGTTCCCAATCCCCCTCCGTCCCCCATTCCCCACACCGCACACTCTACTCCTCACATCCCCCACACTCCACACCCAACACTCCCAATCCCACACCCTTCATTCCACGCCCCACACCCCACACCCCCATCCCTCCAGGCACAGAGTTCCCAGGCACGGGGCGGGGCATGGCAGCACGGGGGGCTGACTTTTGAGTTGACTCAAAAGTCCTCCCAATCCCACACCCTTCAATCCACACCCCACACCCCTCACCCCTCACCCCACACCTCTCACCCCAATCCCTCCCCTCCACAGAGTTCCCAGGCACGGGGCGGGGCATGGCAGCGCGGGGGGCTGACTTTTGAGTCGACTCACCCTTCAATCCAGTCCCCCCCCCTCGCCCCTCGCCCCGATCCCTCCCCGGCACAGAGTTCCCAGGCACGGGGCGGGGCATGGCAGCACGGGGGGCCATGGAGGCCGGGGACACAGTGCTCTCCATCCCCCTCCCGCTCATCATCTCGCCGCTCACTGCACTCGCCTCTCCCTTGGTACGTACGTACTAAGCGTGCTTCGCCCAGCCCATCTCGTTCGAGTCGAGTCTATCTGAGGGGGCTTGTGTGTTGAAATTTGAAATGCGATTGTGATGCTCCTCATGGTTATGTTCTGAGATGCCTCCGCTTTCCAGCACTTCTCCCCGCCCTTCCTGCCCCTCCGCCTGCTTCTCATCAGCTCCCTCCCTCCCAATATACCACACTCGTTTAACCCTGGGTATTGTGCCTCTATTGCACTGTGAATTTTGAGTCGACTCAAAAGTCACCTCTGCTGCTCGTCAGCTCCCACTATACCACACTCGTTCAACCCTGGGTACCGTGCCTCTATTGCACTGTTGCCTTGCCGTGGGAGAGGGAGAGCAAGGGAGAGCAGGGGTAGCAGGGGAGGAGCAAGAGGGGAGAGAAGGGAGAGCTTGCGGAAATGGGATAGAGCGTACAGGAGCGATCTGCCTTGCGAGAGCACAGTACAGAAAGGGAGGAAAAAAGGGAGGAAAAAAGGGAGGAAAAAAGGGAGGAAAAAAGCGAGGAAAAAAGGGAGGAAAAAAGGGAGGAAAAAAGGGAGGAAAAAAGGGAGGAAAAAAGGGGGGAAAAAAGGGAGGAAAAAAGGGAGGAAAAAAGGGAGGAAAAAAGGGAGGAAAAAAGGGGGGAAAAAAGAAAGGAAAAAGGGAGGTAAAAAGCCAAAAGCATGTACGTAACTTGCTGGAGTGTTGGAGTGAACAACTTCGTACGCAGTTTTTCCATTTACCTTTCTCCTGTAATACTTTTGGCATGGCATGGGTATGAGCATGAAACACGGCATGGCATGGCATGGCATGGCAGGGTCAAGCTCTGCGAGCAGGAGTGAAGGGGACCGGCAGAAGCAACAGGGTGGCACCAGAGCAGTGCGAAGAAGCAAAAGGCAGGGTCCAAAGCGTAGAGGCGGAGGGTGGGGAGGTGCAAGGTCGAGGGTGGCGGGTGGGGCGCAAAGTAGAGAGGCGGAGGCTGTGGCTGAAGCTGAGATGCTCAGGGGTGGCGGCGGTGGGGGCAGTGGTGGGGAGGAGAGGGGCGGAGAGGAGGACACGGACATGGGGGGCATGGGGGGCATGGGGGGCATGGGGGGCATGGGGGGCATGGGGGGCATGGGGGGCATGGGGGGCATGGGGGGCATGGGGGGCATGGAGGGCATGGAGGGCATGGAGGGCATGGAGGGCATGGAGGGCATGGAGGATGGGGTGGATTTGGGCAACATCAGCGATGAGAGCATTGCGCTGCTGTGGACCATTCAGCAACGGCACGACCCCTCGTCCTTTTATGCTCCTTTTTTCAACGCCCTGCCTGCTGCAATCAACACAGGTGCCACCTCCTTCTCCTTCTTTACTCTCCTTCCCTCTCCTCCCCTCCCTCTCCCCCCTCTCCTCCCCTCCTTCCCCTCTCCCCCTCCTCTCCTTCCTCTCTCCCCTCTCCTCCTCCTCCTCCTTCCCCTCTCCTCCCCTCTCCTTCCCCTCTCCTCCCTCTCCCCTCCTCCCCTCCCTCCCCTCCTCCTCCCCTCTCCTCCCTCTCCTTCCCCTCTCCTTCCCCTCTCCTCCCCTCGTCCTTTTACGCCCCCTTCTTGAACGCCCTGCCTCCCGCCATCAACACGCCATCAACACGCCATCAACACAGATGGTGCCACCTCCTTCTCCTCTCCCGTCCTCACGTGATAGCCTCGATAATATCTATGTTAGAAAGTGCAAAACTCGTAATGAGCAGCGCAGGGCACAACGTGACTTTCAAGTCTCATCAAAAGTGTGTCGCCACCTCTCTTTCCCTTTCGACCCGATGTCCCCTGCCCTGCTTCTCATCCCTGACACGTCCCCAATCCAGCAGCACTGTCATGGCCTGAAGCAGCAGCGCACTTTGTAGGGAACGAGCTGATTTTCTGATCGACTCCAAAGTGTGTTCCCACCTGCGTTGCTTCTTATTATCCCCTCTCTGCCGCTGCTAGCATTGACATGGCCAGAAACAGCAGTGCGTGCAGTGCAGGGAACGCTGCTGCATACACACATAGAACGCGCTAGGCAGGTGTGTGGGTGGCAGATACGCGAGTGCAAGTGGAGTAAGGGCAAGGAGGGGGAAGGGGGAGAGGCAGGGGAGGGGCAAGGAAAGAAAGGGGAGGGGGATGTAGGGGGGTTGGGAAGGGAATGCAGTAGTGTGCTGGGCTTGTTGGGTTGTGCATCTGCTTGTACTCTGCCCCTCTGCTCACTGTTTCTCTTGGGTTTTTTCCTCCCTTTACCATCCATGCCAACCATGCCGATTATGCCTTTCATGCTTGTTTGTGTCAAGAGTCGAGCAGTTCCTCTTTCATTCTCCCACCTGCGACCACGAAGTGCCACATCATCTCACGAGTCACCACTCTTCACCACTCTTCTGTGTCTTACATACTTCTTTCTCCCCTCGTCCCTCCCCTCCCTACCCATTCTCTACCACTCTCTCTCCCCTCCTCTCCCCTCCTCTCCCCTCCCCCAACCAGCACATCCGCGCAGAGTACCATTCTCTCTTCCCAGCCCTCTCCCAGCGCTTCCCCACGCTCTTCCCACCCGCACTCTTCTCCCTCGCCGCCTTCACAGCAGCAGCAGAGCTCTGGTATGCCTACGCCATGCGCATAGCCCTGCCTTCCCCTCCCCCACAACCACATCCTACAGCAGCAGCATCAGCAGCAGCAGCAGGGCCAGTATTGAGCAAGCAGGGAGCGTGGCAGTTAGGAGGAGGAGGGGCAGCCGGGCAGGCAGGGGAGACAACCGCACTGCCGTGTCTGGTGCCGCTTGCATCTCTGCTTAACCACTCGGTGAGTGAGATTCGGAGCGCAGGTTTCAATTTATGCAGGCTGAGATGAGGCACAGCAGGAGGCACATGCAGCAGGGAGGGGCACGGAAGAATTCGCAGCATTTAGGGTGTAGGTTCTGATTGCACGAAGCAGAGGCCTGCCACATGCCCTTTTTTCAAACCATTCAGATCCTTCATGCTGCTTCCTCTCCTTTCCCTTGTTCTACCCCCATGCCCTCGCAGCTGTACCCTCACATCACCCACTTCAGCACACTCGAACTCTCTGCCCCATCCGCAGCTCCCCTCAACCCCTCCACCTCCTCCTTCCCATCCCCTTCCTCCTCCATGACTCCCACCTCCACCTCCACATCTCTCCACCCAATCTCCCACCGGCTGAACCTTCGCTTGGAGCGTCCAGTGCGGGCAGGGCAGCAGTGCTTCCTGTCGTACGGCCCACTGCCCTCGCACGACCTTGCTCTCTTCTACGGCTTCCTGCTGCCCTCCCGCAACCCCTACGACTGCTTCCCGCTCGGTGAGAGAGGGGTATAGTACATTGTAGCCTAGGATGCACATCTGCCCGTTTCCTCACTAAGGGCGCGTGTCTTTTGGTGTAGATTGTCAAAGTTCGAGCCTAGTACCGCTTTGTAACGTGGCGACACGTCTCTCAACTGTGTCCCACCGCGTACAACCTTTCTAAAAGTTCAACTTTTGGCCAAAGTTCAACCTCAAGGACACGCGCCCTAAGCGATGCACATCTGCCCCTTTCCCCCCGGAGCGTGTCCTCTTGCTCTTCCCGTCTTCTCTGTACTAATGCTTGTGGAATGATGGTGTGGTGATGACATGATGCATGCTTGACGCTGGTAATGGTGTGATGATGGTGTGGCAGACCTTGACTTTTCTGTGGAGGAGGAATTAGCTGAAGAAGCGGAAGGAGAAGCAGAAGAAGAAGCAGAAGGAGAACAGGCAGATGCAGAAGCAGAAGCAGAAGCAGGAGAGGCAATAGCAGAAGCGGAAGGCAAGGAGGGTAGCAACGGAGGAGCAACGAAAGAAGAGGGGGCGATGGAAAGGGACTGGGAGAGGACGGATGAAGACAGAGCGAATGGTATCCAAGAGATGCAAACCGTAGAGGCCGATGCATGCAGGGAGGACACAGCAGCTGCTGCCGCTGCTCAAGGAGATGGGGGAGAAGCAGCAGCTCGCAGCACAGATGCAGGCGCCACGGCAAAAAAGCCACGGCACAGCGATACAGCCAGTGATGATGATCATGCTCCCAGCAATGCTACCACTGAGACCCTTGATGGGAGTGCTGCCAACACGGACAGGGACAGAGGCGGAGGCGAAAACGGTGCAGCAGAGGTATGGCAGGGGGAGGAGCCGGTGCTGATGCTGTCACAACACCTGTTGCGTGCGTGTGACCTTACGCTCTCTCCCACTGGCGCTGTGGTGGAGAGGGGCGACCGGGAGAGTGCGGAGGAGGAGGAGATGGGTGCGAACGAGTGTGTGATGAGAGGGCAGGATGCAGATGGAGAGAACGATGGGGAGGACAGGGAGGATGGAGAGGAGTGTGAGGGGGAAGGAGGGGATGGGAGTGAGGAGGTGTGGGGAGGGCTGCCTTGGCGGCTGTGTGTGGCTCTGTGCGGGGCAGTGGGAGGGGGCATGGAGGAGCGGATCATGTGGAAGGCTGATGCTCTCTGCCCACCCCAGGCACATGTATGCTGCCTCTCTGTTGCTGCCGCTTGCACCTCCGTTACGCCAATGCACCGCTGTGTTACCCCGTGCACCGCTGTGCTACCCCGTGCACCGCTGTGTTACCCCGTGCACCGCTGTGTTACCCCGTGCACCGCTGTGTTACCCCGTAAACCGCTGTGCTAGCCGTTGCTCTGCTCTGATACTTGCTGCACCTGAATGTTTCTTATTATACCCAGCAAGGCTTTTGCACAGTGACATTCAGGTGCCATTGTTGCTCCCTGCTACTCTTTATTCTCCCCTCTCCCACCTCCCCCCCTGCAGAATCTCCTGAAAGTGATTTTAGTCGTTGCAAGGCCTCTTTTCCAGTCGTCCCCTCATTCTGCATCCATCCTCATATCCCTTCCCCTCACTCTCCCAACCCCTACTCTCTCCCTATGCATCTTCACCCGGGGCCCCTCAGATCCCCCCTGCAGTGCGCTCTGCTGCTCTCTCCACTCTACTCGACCTCGTAGGCACGCTGCTGGCACAGGAACAAGAGCAGGAACCTCATCCTCTCCCCCCCCCTCTCCATCACCCCCATTCCCGGGTGCTCTCTTCCCTCCACATGCATCTTCACCTGGTGCGTCTCAGATCCCCCCTGCAGTGCGCTCTGCTGCTCTCTCCACTCTACTCGACCTTGTAGGCACGCTGCTGGCACAGGAACGAGATCAGGAGATGGCACAGGAGGGAGAGGAGGATGAGGAAGAGCAGGAGGAGAGGCAGGAGGAAGGACAGGGAGAGGAGGCATGGACGGAAATTGCAGTCAAGAGGGTAGAGGAGCGGGGCCAGGGACAGGGGGGAGTGCAAAAGGGCACGGGTGTTGCTGATGTGGCGGCGTGTGTGGCTGTGGCTCAGCAGTACCGTAGGGAGCAGGAGCAGCTACTGTTATCCGTTAGAAACGAGTGTGTTAGGCTGCTTATGATGCTGTGACTGGACTGGGCTGGACTGCTCCTGCTAGTCCTGTGTTCTTGCATGTATGTTATCGCAGCCTGTTTGCAGCTACAGTACCGTAACTCTTCTTCTTGAATTGTGTGCTATTCTGTTTGCTTCCTCCTCCAAATTGTTTTAAGAAATGACAAGTCAGAATTCTTCTCTGTGTTTACTTCAAGGAAGTGCTTATTCATTGGATTAGGAGGCCAGCTAGCTGCAATTGTTGTACCACAAGCAAGCACACGCACGTACATCCTAAACTGCACCTGTTTGCACACTGGCTGACGTGAGTTTTCTTTTGAGGACTTCACATTAAAAAGTGCAGCAGCATTGCCAACGTCGCTGCGGCATATAAGCAGCTCCCTCCCCACACTAGACAAAGCAGCTTTGCATGATACATAATCACAGAACTAGTTACAACTTCCGCTAGCAGCAGCAACGGCAGCTGAAGCAGCAGCAGCAGAAGCAGGGGCAGGAGCACTATTTCTTGCCTTTAGAGCCTCCTCCTGAATCATTTGCAGCGGCTGCTTTCTTTGCTGCCTTTTCCTGGAGCGCCTTGGCATCTCTGGAGGCAGAACAAACACAGAACAACAGGTCAGACCAAGCACTTGAGCAGGACGGATGAGCGGATTACACGGAATCAATAGCGAGCGACCTAGGGTTCTGCTGTGCACGGCTGGGAGGGAACTACCGGATTGATAGAGAAGAACCCATGATGACAGTGAAGAAAGGGGGGAGGGAAGGGAAAGAGAGAGACAGAGAGAAAGAGAGAGAGAGAGAGAGAGAGAGAGAGAGAGAGAGAGAGAGAGAGAGAGAGAGAGAGAGAGAGGGGGGGGGGGGGGGGGGTGTGGGAAGGGGGGAATTTTGGTAGGGAGGGGGGTGTGGGGGAGTTTGGTAGGGAGGGGGATAGGAGGCGGGGCGAAGGAGGAAAACGAGGTAGAGCAAGAGGAGGGGGGGGTACGAGAAGCGGGGAACAACAGAATACGTTGAAAGAGGGAGGCGGTAGAGGAAACGAGAAAGAAAGAGGGTAGGGGAGTGAAGGAGCAACAGGTTGTGAATACCTTTCTCTCCGCTGGTCGGGGGTCAACCCGTCGTCGACTTTCTTCCCCACTTTCGCATTCCGAGCCGCCGCTCGAGCCCTATCGGTTTCTCTCTGGTTGCCACGTGTAGTGACGCAGGTTAAGGAAAACCGAAAGTGATGGTAGCATAAAGCGGCACGAGGCTAACAACGTGGAAAATGACGAAAGCAAGGAAAGCACGAAACGAATTGGAAATAGCTTGATGACAGTGAAAATAGCATGCTACTGGGAATAGCATGCATCAAAAGAAAATGATACGAACAGACGAAACAAAGTAACGAAGCAATCAGGAATGGATCGCGACGCGATTGGCGAGATGGCGAAAGGTGACATAATGAGAGGATATGAGTCATGATGGCAGATCACACTCCTCGCTCGTTCCTTGCGTTTTCCCACTTGGACTGGCACGTGCCGTACGCCCGCTAAGCACGGTGATCGCGGTGCCGCGAAACCCTAAGTAGTTGATGTGAAGGCATACCACACAACCCACTACTCCCATCGACAATCTATGGGGGGACGGGGATATCATTGGCCATGTAAGTTTCAAATACAGTTCAGAACATAAGAATAACTTACATACACACAAATGGGTTCATATCTCTCTTATATATCAATCCACTTATGAAAACACTTCCAATTCTGAACATTCAATATATAAAGCCACCTTATCCATCCTTCAGGTCTTGAATTATGGAATCCTCTCTTGAAGGTTGTATTGGGTCTGCTGCTGCATTTTCGACAACGAGTTTTGTTATGGATGTTGTTAGAAACTGAATTGTGTGTTCATTGATGTGGGTTGGGGTACATACAGCAGACCCAATTTTTTGTACCCCCTAAGACAAGCCTCACTACAGGCTACAACATTTGACACACCCCCATAGCCAAAATGAGGGGTGTCTAGCAAAAACCAAAAGAGTACGGTCACAAGACCAGTCACAAAGAAACAAAGCTCAGGGTGGATCACAAAGTCACCACACATTCCGAGCACAAGCAAAGGGCCACAAGGCCAGTTCAAGAGTTTACATGTATATAATAATGAGTACAAGACAACATATAATTATTAGGAAAGACGGGAACAAGAGTCAACGAGACCTAACTGCACACAACACCTGTGGTGGTCACAAGGCGGAAGCGCCCTTGTGAAGATGTCGGCAGTGCTGGCCTCGGACTCCACAAAGTCCAAGCGAGCCTGTCCACGCCTCTGCAACTCTCGCAGAAGAAAGTACCTGACGTTGATGTGCTTCACTCTGCTCTCCAGTCGAGGCTCTCGACAGAGGAGAATCGCCGCATTGTTGTCAGTGAACAAGGTCGGTGCAGAGCTCGGCCGCTCACCAAGGTCGGTGAGCAAGAAGGTCAACCAACGCAGCTCCTGTGCAGCCATGGCTCCAGCGTAGATCTCAGCCTCAGCAGTAGAGGTCGAGACCAAGGACCTGCTGCACCATGTGTGATTGTGAGAGTGTAATGGTGCGAGCGGCTCTGTCCCTTGTGATGTGCATGCCAAGGTAGTGGCGCAGCTCACCAAGGTCAGTGCACGTGTGTCTCTTCTGCAGTTTGCGCTTCATGGTAGCCAAAGCAACCCTGTCAGCAGTGGCGAAAACCAGGTCGTCGACGTAGACCAGTACAAAGAACGGTGTGGAGCCACGACGAACAAGTAGCGACGAGTCGGCAGAAGACGGCTGGAAACCGAGGTCAGACAGGGTAGAACGAAGGGTGTCGTGCCACTCACGAGGAGCCTGACGGAGACCGACCACCGGTCCCCTCAGCCTCCACTTGGTCCCAGGAGGGACAGTGCCAGTGAAGGCAGAGGGACGACGCAACCAGACCTCCCCGTATAGGCTACCCTGAAGGTAGGCAGTGGAGAATTCGAGAGAGTGTAGCTCGTAGTCTCTTTATGTTGCTACGTGCAGTAACACCCGAAGAGTGGTCATTTTCAAGGTAGGCGTGAAGGTCTGAAAGAAGTCAACTCCCTCGCGCTGACTGAAACCTCTAGCCACATAGCGCGCAGAGGAGATCCCGATGGTTGCTTCACCCTGAAGATCCGCATGCCATCGACTACTTTCGCCCAAGGGGGAGGGACCTCATCCAGGTGCTTGTGGATCTGTAGCAGGCCATCTCTGAGTCCATGGAAGCTCTCCATTGAGAGGCCCAAGATCCTGACACTACCTCAGCGTAAGTGCGAGGAGTCGGTATGTCAAGGGCATTGGGTTTTCCCTCAGGAACGAGCATTATGGCACAGAGATGAGGGGAAGTAGCTGCCAGGATCTCTAGCTCAAACACCAGCTCCCCGAAGACGAGAGTCTCCTGCAGACACGGGCTCAGCTCCAACTTCAGCACCCCCAGATCCATGACCTCTCACAGGTACGTCTCTGCTCCAACTCCAGCACCTCTAGAGCTCGCCTCCAGGGTCCTTGCTACGAAAACCAGCTCCCGCGGTGAGCATCCACCGGATCAGCGTAAAAGTCACCTCAGACTTCTTCGCCAGGAAGAACACTGTGGTGTAACGAGAGTAGTCGTCAACGTCCACCAGGAAGAAACTCTCTCGCTCAGGGCCAGGGCGGGGCGGGGTCCCAAATCCAAGTGGAGAGTCTCGAAGGGCTCGGTGGCCAGACGAAGGGAGGAGGAGTGAGGGGTGGCGCGCAGCCGACCCTCGACGCAGGGACCACAAGATGGGGCAAGCGAAGGCGGCAGCGACGGCACCCATCCGGTGGTGCCACAAAACGGTGGGGTGGGCAAGCGACCGGCAGGAGCAAGACGCAGCAACTGGACCAAACACCGGAACCTGACCAGGCACAGCTACCTGGGGAGACTCGGCAACCTGGTGAGACGCGAGAACTTGACGGGGGCAGTGACAGGGGCGGGGGGCAATAGCTGCTGTCGCTGCCGCTGCTGCTGGCACTGCTGCTGCTGCTGCTGCTGCTGCTGCTGCTGCTGCTGCTGCTGCTGCTGCTACTGCTGCTACTACTGCTACTGCTGCTGCCACTGCTGCTGCTGTCGCCCGCGGGGGCCAGTGTGAAGTGTGTAGAGACCAGAGCCCGGCTCAGCGGTAAAGGTGGTGAGAGGCGCGTACGTGTCACCGTCGACACAAACCGCAGTCTCGCCAGATGGCTCAATCCACACACCCACGTGCTGACTCACGAGAGGCCTCACGCCCACCAAGTTCCTCGAGAACGAGGGGACGTGAAAGCCGGTCAGGGAACCGGAGGGAACAACCGGGCACGGAAGCGTAGGTGTGTAACGAGCTGTGACTGGTCCCGAAGTGGGATCAGCCAGTGCTACAGAGACCGGTGCAGGAAGCGGGGTAAGGGTCGTACAGGAAGAAACAGTGCGAAGCTCCGGAGTCCAGAGTGATTGACAGCGAAGCGTCCTCCGGTGCAGCTCCTGGACTAGTGTCAACACAAGTACCTACACTAGCAACAGGCACCTCAGCAAGACTAGCACCTAAGCTAACAACACTCGAGTAAACAGAGTCAGAAGCACTAGAATCAATAACAACATACATCGCATGAGGAGTTCCTAAGAGATCAACCAACTGAGAAGAGGACATGCCCCACAGAGCGGGGCCGTACGTCTGAACAAGGGGAAGCCGGTCTGGGGAAGGGCCGTCAACGCCGTAGGCCAAGCGAACGGTGTCAGTAAGCTGAGCAAAACACTGACCCGGTGGGTGGCTGCGGCCACAAGGCTGGCCTCGACGGGCACATGTCCGAACGTGATAGGTGCAGGGAGGGTGGACGGCACCACGCGACAGCTGACGCGGTCCTGACCCCTGCCCCGGAACCTGCTGCTGCCTCTACTGCTGCTGTTGCCGCTGCGAGGGGAGGGGCTGCTGCTGCCGCTACTGCCGCTGAGTCAGTAACTAAGCCGCCACTCCTGCACCTGGAGCTGGAGGACCAGTCTGTGCCTGACGTACCCGAGCGTCACCTC